ACTCGATCCCGTGGCAGCAGGGTTGCCTCGCTGCCTGCGGGCTGTGGCTGCCGCTGAGAAAGCGGCCCTAGCATCACGTGACCTTGTGGGATACACTGAACTAACTTTGCTTGTGCCCCATGCTGTTTCCCTGATCCTGTTAGAGCAGAGGGCCTCTCGCCTTTCTGCGGCTCGTTGGCTGGGGTACAACACGGTGCTCTTTGAACTACGGTGAAGGGATGCACACAGCTGAACCCCTCCTCGCTGCTGCCCACGCCAGAGGAAGGGGAGGCACACTGCTGTATCGCCACAATAGAACAGAGATGCACTCCCAGGCCAGACCTGAAAGAGGTGCCTCTGACTAATCCTGACTTGATTTTTTTTATACAGACGGAGCGGCGTCACGTGACAACACTGGGAAGAACCGAGTCGGCTATGCTGTGTGTTCTGATTTTGATACTATAGACTCTGGTAGTTTGCCCCACTACCACTCAGCACAAACCGCTGAGCTGGTCGCGCCCACCGGGGCGTGTGAGCTGGCAGCGGGCAAAACTGTCAACATATTATGTGATACGCGCTATGGTTTCTCTGTGGTGCACGACTGGGAAGCACTGTGGAAACACCGCAATTTTATGAAATCTGATGGTAAACCAATTCTTAATTCCACACAGGTTGAACGTCTGCTGAAAGCTGTAATGTTGCCCTTAGAGATCGCTGTATGCAAATGCCAGGCCCACACTAATGCCACTGATCCCATCTCTGCAGGGAATCGGCGCGCGGACAAGGCAGCGGCATACGCACCTCTACACACACACACACACACTACCTCACTCAAGACGTTGATATTTTCTACTCCAGCAGAGACGCTGCTGTGAGAGGGGAATGGGGCTCAACGACGGCATGGTGTGTGTGGCTGGGACCAGACAGCAAACCGTGCCTACCACGGCATTTCTTCAGACAGTTTGCAATTTTAGCACATGGTCGAGACCATGCCTCAAAAGGAGGGATGATGTGTGATTTAATCACACAAAATTGGTATACAAAGGGGTTTACGGCATTTGCACAGAGATTCAGCCAAACATGCGCTATATGCCCCGCGCACAACCCAGGTAAGTCCCAAAAGTATCCAACAGGCTGCTCATCCTCCGCCCCTGCGCCCATTTCAACATGTCCAAAGGGACTTTGTTGAACTCACACCATGCCAAGGTAAGTAATACTGTCTGGGTCTGGCGGATCTCTGGTCCAAATGGACTGAAGTATTTGCAGGCATACACGCCACGAGCAACGCGGTGGTGAGTCACTTTGTAGCAAAAGTCATTGAGGAAGTGGGTGAATTTCTGGGCATTGATATACGTAAACACTGCAGTTACGCCCCCTGGTCCGGAGGCACGTGCGAGCGAGAGAATGGCACTCAAAGCTCTGCCGCTAGCCCCACGTTGGGCGCGGGACCCCCGAACAGAGATCTGCCAAGCACCTCTTTGTGTGATGACGACATGCTGTCCTATTGTAAGGTAATTAATGCACTTTTGTCCTCTATTTCTGCCCAGGTCAGGAGCGCCCTGCCACAGGCTGCGCAGGCGGCTCTGCACAGGATCAAGCCAGGCGACTGAGTCCTGGTGAAGGAAACGAGACGACAACATTGGCGGTCCAAGCGCTGGCTCGGTCCATTCCTCGCCCTCCTGGTGACGGACACTGCCGTTAAGGTCGCGGAGAGGACAACTTGGATCCACGCCAACCACTGTCGTGCGGTGCTGCCACTGAGGGCCATAGACAAGGACACCGAGGGCGCGGACGGACCAGGCCCATCCGCGGCTCCCTACGCTGAGTAGGTCTGCCGGCGTGCGACCACCACCGGTGAAGCAGGCCAACAACAACACCCAGAGATTCCCAGCGTTCCCGAGGCGACCCCTCTTTGCCCAACTCCCCAGCCCCCGGACCCCAAGGCCTGGGAGCCATGAAGGCCCTGAGCGCTCTGCTCAGCCGCAGCAAGTATGCAGAGCTGCTGCTCATTCCAAAGATTTCTCCAGAGCCTGCTCCCTCTGGCCATAATGCAGATTGGAGCTCTGCTGGAGTGCCCCCTGGTGTCTCGTCTCCCGTGTGTCCGGAGGAGGTGGAGATGAGGGCTGCTCTACAGTTCCTGATGAGGCACATGGTGAAGCGTGCTGTCATGAGGTCTCCCATCAAACGAGCTTTGGGCCTGGCCGATCTGGAGCGTGCTCAAGCCATGGTCGCCACACCCCAAACCCCGAGCACTCTGCCCAACCGAGTGCTGAGGCCAAGGCTTCAACGCAAATAGAGTCTTGCCGCTCCAAGACCAAACATCGCCATGACCACTAACGCTCCACACACGCTCATAGGGAGCGGTGCCACTGACTGCGAGACGGCACTGCTCGTGAGTATTCCCGCGGAAAAGACTACCGAACGTAGCCCGGCTAAGACCGGCATGGGCCCTTGGACTGTTATGCTGGCCACACTGACACTACTTTCCGTGCTGACCGTGTTTATTATGTTAATATTGCCTTCTCTTATCGCTGTCCGGATCCATTGTGTTATTATAATGTGCTCTCTCTTTTATTGACAAGCATGTGTCTTTTCTTGTCCACTTTGGACAGCAATAATTTAAGTGTTTCAAGCTTGAAGGTGGTGTGATTACGATGCCTCTGGTATTTAACTGATTAATGCAAAAATGGTTTTGAATTATCAAAAGAGGGGAGTGTGGTGACAGTTTTTGGAGTAATTACATAAAACCAGCCGCAGCAAATACACGGACGTCAAAGGCCTTTTATCAATGCAGACGACCTTCTGACGCCATGCTGAGCTTTGTGAAGGTCCCTGCTGTCTGTCACACCCTTGTGTCTTTCCGTCTTGCATCTGTATGACCTGCATTTCCACCATTGTCTGTCTGTTCACACCCCATGCCACTGCCACCACAGGGGATGGCGCCGGCGCTTCCTGTGCGCCTCCTCACCGGTGGCCCCCTCCGCTCCGTTGTGGGCGTGACTATCTTTGGTGTGTGTTTTGTATACAGGAAGCTGGGGGCTCTGGCCCCCAGAGCTGAGCATGCTGCCTTTGTGTGCATATGCTGACTCTCCGCACTGTGCGTTAACAATAAACTTACGCTTTTGATCAGACAAAGGACCTTTGAGTTTTCTCCTTCATGGGGTATATATTTCTATAACAGTTGCTATGGTAACTAGTACATGCTCCAAGCTGAGAAGGCTCTGAACCAGTCTAGGATTGAGATCATTTCATAAACATGAATACTTAGATATAAACTACACATAGAAACAAAAAAGAGACAAAGTTATGAAGACCGAAAATGTAGAAGCGGAGTAGATACAACAAAAAATGAAAAATCTGCTCTGGGAGTTATAGTGTTAAAGACCAAACACTTTATACACTTTTCTAACCACCTGCATCTTAACACGCGCCTGCTGTAGTGTGATCACAGGCATATCTAACCGTTTGTTTCATGTCCGAGTGCTGATGCAGCTGTCAAAAACCGTGCATACACTGCAAAACACAGGAGGAGGCAGAACAGCACACTGAGGGGTAGGAGCAAGACTGAGGGCTACTGGCCAGTGTAGTCCTCTGAACCAATACCCATGCTGCACACGAGCCACAATTTTTCTCAAACTTCTAAATATATCTATGGCAGGGATGTCAAATACAGCAGAGGGCAAAAAAACACAAATTTGCTACAAGCTGAGGGTCGGACTGGTTCAAAACATTTCAAAATGATTGGATATAACCATTGAACCAAGACCAAACACAGTGTACCGTATTTTATTTAATGATGCAATGAATAACTTTCTATTTTTATATGGCTCTGTCAGTAAAATTTCAAGTGAAAATTTTTTTCAACAGCTGACAGACAAAAACAAACTTTCTTCAAAGAGAAAACACATTCTCACACATTAAATGAATAATCCAATATTTTCTTATGGCTCTGTCCGCGGCGGTTCTAATACTAATCAAAAATCATCCCAGGTACAAATAATTCAGGGCCTTGACTTTGACCCCCATGATCTATGGCAGGTGTCTCCAACCTTTTTAATCCAGAGAGCTACGTTCCTGGGACGATAAAGGCAGAGAGCTACTCTTTTTGGTGGTGCTACAAAAAGTATTGCCGATTGGGTCACTTAACGTTTTTAAAACATCATATTGAAAATCCTCTTTTTGTCTGTGTTCCAAAGCTTATTATTGAAGTGGAGTTCAATGTGGACTAGAGCAATCCTAGTCCACATCCTAGTCCTATCCACCAACAATCCACCAGCAATCCACCAGCAATCCACCAGCAATCCACCAGCAATCCACCAGCAATCCACCAACAATCCACCAGCAATCCACCAGCAGATCTCTGGACGAGAGCGGTCCAGTGATCGGCTGCTTGGATACACTATGTCAGGCTGGATGAGAGTTTTGTTTCTTGTTTGAATAGTAGTTATTTCTATTGTTGGGCATATGGAGTTGAGGGCTCTTGGGAGAAGTCCGTGCAATGACTTGTATCCAAAACACATAAGTGCAAAGTTTTTTCTGTGTTTTAATGGAGCCAGTTTCAAATTGGCGTAGTCCTCATTCGTGTGTGTGGGGATAGTGCTGGATGATCCTGACGGCTCGGCGTTGAAGTTTTTCTAAACGATTGCTTGGGGTTACATTCAGACCGGCCCGGACAGGAGAAAGCGTACTAGAAGTGAGGCAGGATGTGACTCTTGTATAGCCCCAATAGTACACTTTTTTCACTGACATGGAGGGAAAGTCTACAAGAAGGGATATTTGGGATGCCACCTTCCTACATGCATAGTCAACTTCTTTGTCAAATTTGAGATATTTGGTGAACCAAAATCCCAAATGGAAGTGCTCTCTGACAAACCCAACTGGACAGCCCATGAATTTAAAAGCAACATTTGGGTTTTGTAATCATCTCTTGGGCGATTCCAGCATTTCTATGATTGTGTACTGTTTATTGTGGGTGCATTGGAAAGTGTGTCGTCCTCTCGGCTGTCAGTGTGGTGCTGTACCTGCTGCGAGTCTCCTTCTGTGTACGGCAGCTTTGTGGACACATGGAACATAATCTCTTTATTGTGGAAATTTGTGTAGATCGACTCTGTGCCCGTCTGTCCATGCGTGACATCCAGCCCACCTCGGAATCTGAAAGCAAACAAGGAACAATTCAAATGGCCTAGATATATAGACATTGTTACATGCAATGACAAAATCTGGAACAGTGAGACCGGCTTCTTCTCTGACAATGTGCAAATCCAGGTTAAAAATGGTTCTGGTTAGCTGTGCATACTGAAGGATTGTATCTTCACTCTTTTAAAAGCACTGTGATCGTGAATCTTTTCCCTATGAGTTTCCTTGTGTATGAACTGTGCCATGCAATCAAACTTTCCTTGCCTTGCGAAAAATTTGAAAAAGTGGCATTGCTCTTAGTGCTTTGTTATGTATTTCAAAAATAAAAAAGTTAGGGTTAGGGTTTGTAGACATAACAAAATGCACAAACATTCAAGCCACTGTAGATTGACCTTTTAGCACAAATTTTGACGCCACATTTATCGACTGAATAGTATCTTTATGACAATTTGGCAATTTTGTCAAAAACCTTCCCTAGAAGATTATAAACTGAAGACTCATTTGAAAGCGAGTATCAGTATTGTGGTAAATGTTAAAGATGAGACTTATCATTGTCATTATTATTGTATATGGAAACATTCACTTGATTCACTTGATGGAATTGGAACTAAAGTATTGGATTTGAATTATTTTGTTTTGTTTTTAGTTTAAATTTGAGTTTAATTGTTTTTTTCTTCACTTTGTTTGCTGTTGTTTTTCCCTTTTCTTGTTGTTCTTTTGTACAGATTGCATGTTTAATCTCCTGGGTGTATACAGTATGTTCCTTTGTTTAAAAATAGTGTACTGTAATCGAGTAGGTATTTGAGCCAGTGGTGATGATCCAGGACCCTCGAGATTCGACAATATTAATAGACTTTATCGACCAGTGGCTCCACAGTATGTGTTTTTTTCTTGCGTTTCAACTCTTTGATTCTCTGACCTATGTTGGGGAATTCTGGAGTTTTGTAAAGTCCTCCGAGATAACTGCTGTTGTGATTTAGGGCTATGCAAAAATACATTGAATTGAATTGTCTGCACGAGAATTGATCAGGCTACAACACCTGTTTGGCCTTGCATAATCTTCAAACTGTACAAAATTGTGCGACAAAAAAAGGTAAGTAGCATTGACGATTAACAATTCTAGTCAGCGTCTGAATGCAGAAGAATGAGAGTACTTTGAAAATGGGACAAACTTGTTCTTCAAGCACACTCATTCATCACTTTGCAGATGTCAAGAGGGTTCTTAAAGCCTGCTTAATCAGTTTGTCTGCTGCTACAAAACGCTTGGAAGGAGACCTGTGTAAAGGCCATTTCTGATCAATACAGTGACTGATGGTCCAGGCAGGAACTGGAGAACGATATATTTGAAGTGTCCAAACCCTTTAAAGTCGTGAAGCTCGATCTTGTGTCCCAGAAACTCGAGGAACTCTACAAAGGCTGGGCTCTCCTCCATGTTACCAAACAGCTCTTCCTCTGTTGTCTATGCAAAAGAGAAAAATACATGATTAAGATTAAGATGAAGAGATCCTTTATTTGTCCCACAGTGGGGAGATTTCAAATTGTATCACAAAACAGAAGGAATGAGGCACACACAAAACACAATAAGTAAACTAAAAATATAAAAAAAAAAAAAATCTGACATTAGCATAATAAAAGAGCAAGAATAATAAAAAAAATATTCTAGTGCAAGAAATATATAGTTGTATGTTTACATCTGTACATGTTAGTAGCATGAGGGTCTGGGACAAAGCACCTAATTTTCAAAACACAAAAAATAACAGATGTATGTAGTATAGTTTCCACATGTATGCATTTTTGGCCTCTGGTAAATATTTAGATCATCTTTTATGTGTGAAAAAAAAAACGACCACTTTCACTCAACCAATCAGCTCTCAGCCCAAAGCCTCAAATAGTGACTGTTTTTATATATAACATGTTTTCTAATAAGATGAAGACGCCATGTTGTGGTCAGATTTTTCCCATACCACAAGACTCGTTTATTCGAGGCAAACACAATCTGTTATTCATGAATCTAAAAAAGTTAAGCCCTCCAGTTTTAAAGGAGACGTCCAATGGATCTGACCAATGACCTTCAATGATTGTGTCCGGACTGGAGCGGGATTTTAGATTTCAGAAAACACAGTGGTGATGATCCAGGAACAATCAACAACATTCATGGACTTTGGTCTTGGTCGTTTTTTTTTCATTCCATTTCTTGTGTTTTAACTGTTTGATTCTCTGATCTGTGTTGGCAAATCAACAGCTTCGTAAAGTCCTCCGAGATACCTACTGGTGTGATTCAGGGCTGCACAAACGAAGTGAAGTTGAAATCGAATTGACTTCCAAGCTACTGTTGTCCCACTTACCTGTCCATACTTTTGATAAATCACCCCGAACTTGAAGTTGTTGCTTATCACATGCTCATCAAATGTAACAATCAGCCTCGATGCCTGCAGAACAAGTGACATCATCATCACTGAGACAAGAGAGAGCAAATGTAGCCAGCTGCTTTAGTGAATATGGTACCTTTGGATAGAGGACGGGGTAAAAGCGGTCCACATTAACCTCTTCACAAACAAGCTGGGGGAAATAATAGCAGGCTTAGTCTTGGTGGGTCTAATTACACAGTGTGGAGGGAAGCGATTCGGGGATAATTGTAGCCTACCTTAGCCATCTGAACCACATTGGGGAACTCAGTAAGGCAAGAAATTGGGATCACGTCGTGGTGGGTTTTTTGCCTTGTGCTGAAAAACAATAGAACAATCATAATCTTGATGAAAAACAGATAATAGATTCTGAACAATGTGGTTCAATACCCATACACACATATAAAGAGAGACACACAGATAGATAGACACACACACACACACAGAGAGAGAGACACACGCAGAGAGAGACACATACAGAAAGAAAGAGATGCACACGCACACAGATAGAGATAGACATACACACACACACACGCAGAAAGACACACACACAGACACACAGAAAGAGAGAGATACACACACGCACCCACATGGAGAAATTCACGCACACACACACACACTCACACAGAGAAAGTCACGCACACACACACACACACACACACACACACACAGAAAGACACACACACACCCACACAGAGAAAGTCACACACACACAGAAAGACACACACACACCCACACAGAGAAAGTCACGCACACACACACACACACACAGAAAGACACACACACACCCACACAGAGAAAGTCACACACACACAGAAAGACACACACACACACACCCACACAGAGAAAGTCACACACACACACACACACACACAGAAAGACACACAAACACCCACATAACTATCGCCTTGAATACTTAATCTCAAAATAATCAGCAAACATCCGGAGACCTCATGGTTTGTGTTTCAAAAGTAATTGTGCAGGTGCTGCGACAGATGGCACATTGTCATTTAGAGAAAAAAAATGCAGTCTACATGGAGCTAAATGTAAATGTATAACCAGAATATTACTAAAACACCTGTTCAAATTTATATATTATGTGTTATTCTAATCCATGTGTGACAACAGCCAAGCCACTCAATCATTCATCATAGAGAATCAACAAGTGCGCATAATCTACAGTATGGGTGAAGCCGTAGATATAGCCATGAATATGATAAATATGAATTTGTGCTGATATTATTATAACCCTTTGATGCATGGATGAACACACACGCATCAGGAAGGCATTGAAACCATAATGCAGTACTCTACAGACCAGTGCATTCATTTCTATTCATACACGTTTTCCCCCTCAAGAAAATCCTGGTGAATTTGAAAAGAAAAGACATACTGTTTTATTGATTTGTTAAGTAATAATTAATATACAAGCGTCCATCTTGAGAACATAAGCGTGCATCGAGAGAAACATATTATATAACAAATGTTTAATCTATAGAGATCCATTGTGAATATCTTACACATCTATTAATACCATGAATGTTGAATATCCTATTTAAAGCATCTGTCCATAACAAAATCCGACCTCATTCACTGGTTTAAAATAGAGCTGGAGTGAGTCAGTAACAAAGAACGAGAGGCAAGGTGACTGTGGGTGGTGCCCCATCAGCGGAAAGCATCTCTCTGAATACAATTTTGGGCACTGAAAATCACTTTTTAAAATACTAATCCACTCGAGAACGGGGTCAATATGAAAGATTTGAGCCATAAAAACTGAAGAGTCCTTGAAGCCAGAATTATTCATGGCACTGCGGAGGAAGAGGGAGTAAACAGGTGTGGAAAGAGAAGAGATCTTTTTTGGATAATCATCGTGGGAGGCTGACACACAAAAGAAGCACTCCTAGAGCAGTGCAGTAGTTTTGGTCCATCCAGTAAAAGTCAGTGATCATATTGAGCTACAGTGTTTGTATGGATCCAATCGTGTTATTTTTGTAAATGTGTGTATACATGTCCTCAGCCTTATGAAATGAAAAGTAAACCAAACCCGCTATAACCAAAATGACTCATAAAGTGTTACGTGCGTCTGCTCCAACTCTTTAAAATGATGTATCATGAAACCTATATTGTCTTTGCTCGAGACATTTCAAAACCAATTCCTTTTTTTTTCTTGAACATGCAAGAATAGTTGGCAATTTTGCTGCGGCAATGATTAACACTCCCCATTCTATGTCAACAGAATAATCATAAAATCTCCCAAATTTTCACCTTGCACTTTTAATGAACGAGCCTCAATCGTTTCACCGATCTATCTCAAAATTGCTCCTCATCATCTAAAAAATGTTCCCCAATTTTGACTATTTCAAATTGGCTCCCGTTGACACATACAAAGTTTGATGAACGCCAAACATGAACTGGTTGTTCAACTCTTGGGTCTAGGTCAGCTCAAAGTGAAAAACAAGAAATTGCAGCATTAGCGCTCCCTACAGAGTAATCCAAAGAATGACATGTACACTTTGCAAGACCAGCCGTTTTGTTTGACTAGTAGAGCTCTAAATCACTCCATATCATCTTCACTCAGTAAAGGCCATTAGGTGTATGACTTATTTTCACTGTGTTACCGTGGAGATAACAAACACTCCTCATTCTAGGTCAATGGGATAATCATGAATCATAATCATATACCGTGGAGATAACAAACACTCCTCATTCTAGGTCAATGGGATAATCATGAATCATAATCATATACACGTGTAGAATTCAAAGTTAGCTTCAGATTTGTGATTGGTTAAACAGTGTGAACCAGCAAATATTACTGGTTATGTTTTATTGTTTATATTTTGAAATTTATAATTTTATTTTACACCTGTTTCACATGATAGCACAAGATCACATGTTCTATTGTTTGCTTATTTTCTGTCTGTTTTGCACACCCTGAGTAACTCTATAGATGCCAAATGTAACAGTTACATTTCTCCACTGTGAGATCAATGACGTTTTATCTTTTTAGATTAGATTAGATTTTATCTGAAAGATTAGTACTTCTTGTCGACTCTGCACAGGTGCCACATAGTAAAGCATGAACAAGTACTTTCAGTCTCATGCCTAATCTGGAGCAATTCCGTATTCTGCAGCTCTGATGGTATCGGGTTCATTCAGACAGTTTATTGCAGATAGCATTTATGAGAAAGACCTATCAGTCGCATGAAGGATGTTCCTGCTCCTATTGTCAGAAATCCATCTGGCTGCAGGTGAGTCCCCAGCTTCACTGAGCCCGAGCACAAACAGGAAAGCAGACATGTTACAGATAAGGAAATGGAAAGGCGTATATATACCGAAGCATGAGCCGCAGGTGCTCCTGATCCCCGATGACATCGTACTTCATGGAAAAGACCAAGTGGCCCAGTGCGGCGTCCATGGTGTAGTAGTTAAAGTGCTCCTGAGGAGATGAGGAGATACACTGGATAAGAAGCTACGACAAATACACTGAATGGTCTTTTTTGTCTTCTGCTTGTTATTAGAGTGGGGGTTGTCTGTGCTTTTGGAACCACATTTGGTTAATTGGTTCTTCACTGACAGTTCAATGTTTTGTTTGTTTTATTGTTTTACTACTTTCATTAAAATTAATTAAATCACAGTTTTTTTTTTAAATCTTTGTACTAAAACAAAGTGGTAAATACAACTAAAATACATCTAAACATCTGCTAAATGTATACTGTGTGTTTCTATGGTAACCAGGATTCGCTCCAAGCTGAGATTGCTCCGAACTAGTCAAGGACCGGATTGATTTAATTTCATTACCAAAATATGAGTACTTTTCGCAATCATAGCTGAGGGATTTGCTTAACACTGGGACCCCCAGACACCTTTAACTAAACTAGAACTCCCAGAGCCATCATTTTGACTGCACCCATTCAAATTGATGGAATTTGGGAGTTATGAAGTTAGAAGTTAGAGAGTTTACCATCAGTCAAAACTGGTGAATATAATTTGAAACAGAGACAAGTTAGCATTATGGTAACTTATTATGGTAGCTAGCTAGGGGTTGCCCTTCTCTACTCCATTTCAATATTAATGATAATGATAGAAATAAACTAGAGACAAGAGTAATGAAGATCAAAAAAGTACATGAGACAAGTAATTACATTTCCAAACTTCCAAATTTCAATACTTTAGTTTAGATTTCAGACAAAAAAAGGGAAATGTTCCTTCTTTTTTGTGTAAGCTCTCAGTCGTACAGGGATTAGTCAAAACAAAGAATGGTTCCTGAAGTACTGATGATGGGTGAGAAACCTTCCTTTGTTTATTACTTCCTTTTGTCACATTCTTTGACAAATACCTCCCTGTCTCTGATCTGTTGTTGATGAATTGACAACATGGTAAAGTCCTCCTAGACGACTGTTGTTGTGAATTAGACTTATACAAAAATAAATGGAATCAAAATAGTATTGAAACTATATTGAAATTGAACTGAAAGCCCATACCTTTCCCATGAACTGCTTCCTGTAGATTTTGGCGAGGCTGTTGGTCTCCAGTTTGACATGTGAGGTGGGACATGAGGCCTGTTCTGCCTCAGGAGGGTCTTTTGGCGCATGATTGGTGCCCTCGATCCAGTAACCGCCAAACTGGGGCAGCAGAATGAGCGGGAAGGGACTGCATCGACCAAGCACCTGCCGCAAACCACACTCGATCAGACACTTCACCTCTAATGTGGGAAATGGGGTTTTGAGCTGTAGGACATACCTCATGAACACTGGGATAAGGAATGTAGTCTTCCTCTGTCTGTAAAAGCCATGAAAAAAGACACGTAAAAACAAGAGCTTTACATTGTACAAAAATACATAATTGTCTGTTTTTGACCAATGGCTCTATGTGTTTGAACGGTTTGATTCTGCATTGGCAAATTCAATGTTTTTTTTAAAGTCCTATGACATTACTACTGTTGTGACTTAGGGCTTTGCAAAAATACATTGAATTTAATTAAATTTTAGGTCAGTTATTGTTACAGAGATGTGTATGGGCTCAATAATGCTACAATAATGAGAGATGTAATGCTTGAATTATTGAAATGCAGCATTATTACTTTATACAAAACTGGGAGTTTAATTTCAGACAGTGATAAAAGACATTAGTTGAGATTTAATGTTTGTCCACTATAGTCCAAGGTGCCAATATTTTTTTATATGTTAAGCATTGGTTTGATCAATGCCACAAAGATAAACGTATAGTTAGTACAGTTTTAAGATCAATATTTGGCCATAATTTGAGTAAAAATCCAACTTTCATGAAGGATATAATTTGACAGGCTTAAAATGTTGTTAAAGTAAGGTCAGTGGAAATCAGTTTGACTCCATTGTCTGCCACTTTGCATTGGGCATTCATCAAAAAAGCCTTTAGGTTTGTGGTCATAGAGAGAAAAAATGTAGAAGTAGCAGTCATTTTTTTTCTAGATAGATCTTAGGTCACATATTTTCAAAGATTTCATCAATTTTACAATAATAAATACATTCTAGTGCAAAATAATAACACAATTTAGTGCTAAATAATTTTAGCTTGAAAGGGGTTCAGGCTGAAGTTAAGACTAATCCTGCCTAACTTCTTTTCCAATAGTGGCAATATGTCCAAAGATAGTGCACAACTTAATTTTCAACAATCAGAATTATTAGGCATAATCCAATTCATGTGTTCTATATGTAAGGATTAAACAACGAGGAAGAACAGTAAACTCTGCCTTGTGCGTCGTGCAACTGTCTGAAAACGAAACTTTTGCCGTAGCATAAGAAAAATGGGAACTACTTTTATTAACACACAAAACATTAACCGATGTGAACGTTGTTGCTTTTGTTCTTGTTCTTCTTCTTGGTTCTCCTCTTCTTCCCATTCCCCAAAGGGTTTGTTATGTCCAAAAATGTTCAAATTTACCTAAATATCCATGTTTTCCAGCGCTATTAGTTGCTAAGGCTTGTCACATAATTGACATTTTATTTGATCTAGCTGTTACAGTTACTATGGCAACAACTGTGACGGAGTGATACAGCATGATTTTAAACTAACCGGACATAATTTATGAAAATAATTTACGAAAATAAGGCACGGCAGTTAGCATTGGAATTCTCAAAGACCATGGTTCATAATCTTCAACTTGGCAAAATGTGGACACGTTGATGGATTCTTGTAATCATGTATTTTTGTGTGTTACAACTTCAGGTCATGTCTGAGAGCTAAATACAGACCCTGAAGAATTCACTTAAAAATCATGTCGCGTCTGGCAGCAATGAACCGCGAAGCTAAACAGTTTCCGGGAGCAAAACACTGACATACATAGACATGCAACGTGCCAAAGACGACAAGTGCTGAAGCTGAGGGCAACTGAGCTGGGTTTTCCCAAAAGGACAATAGTTAGACTGACTCTTCAAACCCCTCCCTGGTTCTAAAGAGTGTATATAAGAGTGTATGTACCCTCGCTGTGTGAAGGAGAGGTTCCGTAGGTCTTTCCTCCCTGCTGCTGTCAGACTGTACAATAAGAACTGCTGAGCCTGTAAATTTCATTCATCTGTAATTAAGTAAATACTTAAATCATGTGCAATGTGCAATACTGCAACTTCAGAATGTCACAGAACAATGTCACTTTACCTCATGTCACTTTACTTATATACTTATTATCCTGCACTATTTAACTGTACAGTATATAACTGCACTACTACATACAGTATATATATTTTGACTGGTATTGAAGCATTTTCAGCATCTACAGCTAGTTATGTTAGCTAAGAAACATAGCTACTACTTATTTGTATATATTGTGTGTGCTCCCTGTGTGCTCTTACTACTGTCCTATATGTGCAATGCAACTTCGAAATTTCCCCACTGTGGGACGGATAAAGGAATTCTTATCTTATCTAAAGGAAGCTTGGATGAGTCGCCTGCGCTGTTTTCACTATGTGACATATCGACTTCCCTTCACAAACCACAAACCTCATGACTAAGTCATGACTTCTTTTTCATCCGCTTTATTAGTCCATTTCTGGGTTGGGGGGTTGGAAATCAGAGCTGCCACCCAGTCCTCAAAGCACAAGCTGATCCTCCTGCAGAAGAAGGCTGCTCTGACATGGAGACACGGCTTGCTTATTCAACAGGGCGAAAAAGACCAATGCTCTACCAACTGAGCCACTGTTGAGCATTTGTTCTTACTCGATTTCTCGGACTCATTATGCACATCTCATTTTCACAGCTATTGGCTTTGATTATTCTAGTTCCTAATGACTGTGTTCATGCAGAATTACGCTCGGGCCACCAGGGGTCCATGAATACTTTTGCAAGCTTCCGCACACCCTCAATCAGACACGCAGCGTGCCGAGGGACAGTGTAGCACAGGGCATTGATTTTTGGGTCCCGACCTGAAGTGATGTTGGAGTCGGTGTACGCAGATTGAACCCGAAAGCACTCATCTTTTCTCTGTCTTGAGCATTACGAGTGTTGAAGGCCAAGGAAGGACACAGACAGGCTAAGGGAATGTTTTCAGACAAAGAAAACTCATTTTTATTGTGAGGTAGCCTTCTGCACACTCTCAGTATACTTTTTTTTTGTTTCTATCTAGATCAGAGGAGAAAGTAGTGATAAAAAATGCTGTCTCTGTTATTCTGCTTGAAGTTCAGAAGGTTGTATCTGAAGCTGGATTGATTCTTGTACGGATAAAATTAGGGATTAAGGGGAGACGCAGGCACTTGACTTTAAAGTAGCAATATGTAAGAATTTTATGTCAAGTCATCAATAATTGGCCCTAATCTGTCAAAAGACTCTGAATAAACATGTTCTTTTTGAAGACTTCTTTAACTGATTTGTTTTACAGCCCCTGAATCTTGTTATTGTTTAATTTCAATGTCCCGTCCACCACCGTTTTACCAAAGAAAGTCTGTGGTCCGGGTGGCCAGAAGTCTAGCTAATCTCACTGGTAAAGTAACGGGTGGCTGCAGCTTGAGCCTTTGTCAATAGACACAGTAATTGTAAATATACTTTGTATAAAAGTTTCTTTTGGTTTTCAATTTATTTGGTTTGGAATAGTTTTGTATATCGTAAGTAATAAATGCATTTTCTCATAAAGAAAGCCCTCGGCTCAACAGGCAGACGCTCTCCTGTGTTGTAAGACATCAGAGCGAGAGCTTCTTTCACAGTGAGTGACTGTTGTTGCCAGACTGTTTCATCTTCATCTGCTGGTGAAATTTCTACGTTGGCAAAATCTCCTGTGCTATTTTTGACCCTTGCACTTACCTTGTGTTTTGTTGTTTTTGGCAGTTCTTGTGTTTGGCACTCCCTCTCCTCTTACTAAATGTTATTTTTGTTCACACTTGAGTCACTTCTTTGGGTGCCCTTTTCGTGCAGTAACAGTATTTTATTTTGTGTAAAACTAAAACGTGCACACAACTCTTTAAAGTTAACTAAAACATGACAGGAGGTAGCTAATTGTATGTTTTAAATGTTGTACTCAAGATAAGAGGTTGTGTTTAATTGTATATCTTATTTTTCCTTTCGTTTTCATGGCCTTTAAAGGGCATTCATGACATTTGTAAAGGTCAATAAATTTCCTTTGTGAAGTTCGAAAAAAAGTTCACCCCTCGCAACATTTTTGGAACTCTCTGACATCATCGCAAAAAAGTAAAAAAACCCACAGATTGAAACCGTTCAAAACTGTAAATATTTTGATCCTTGACTTCCCGTTGAGTACTGCCTCTCGTGCATCACTTGCGTTTGCTAGTTTTGGATTTCTCTTAAAATCCGGTTCGGTTAAAGATAAGAGTGGGTGTGAGATGTGAGGCTGCGACTTACTTTGAGGGGAGGAGGCAGCGAACATCTTTGCTCATCCATCCTGAAACCCTGTGGAGAGCGGAGGAAACATGCTTGGACACAGGTGGTGGAAATGCAGCGCCACATGTGCAACGGCAGATATAGAGACTGAATCATTTCGACAGGTTTGGTTTTGTGGATGCAGTGAAAGTGCAGCTATTCTCGGTGGCAAAAGATGATGTTTTAACCATTACGACGAAATAGAAGAGGAAGTAACATTGCAGAAGAGGATTACAGTCTGTGGTGGGACATCTGATTTTCGATTTGTACATATTTAAATAATGTTCCCATCTTCTACAATCCTTTTGGCACATCATTAGTGTTCACATGCATAAATCCCAAAAGTGAATCAAAGTGGATTCATTCTGTAGTGTCCACCATGCTATGATTTGAGGTTTGCAAGAATATGGTTAACCAGATGTAACTTATAACTTCATTGAATTATTCTAGTTCTAGAGAATTCCAAATGTAGGTGTAGTGAAATGCAATGAAAATAGAGAAATATACTGTATCTCAGGTGAACTTCAGTGTGTTCCTTTTCACATTATCTCAAGATGGGTGATACGGTATGACATGTTTATGCATGTAATTTTGATCTAATACTTGTTAATCGTTATCATGACCTTCAATATCATTCAAAAATTGAGATATATCAAGCCTTTTATCTAGTCTATATCTTAAAGTGATTTAACTTTTCAAGCTGAATTACAAAATAAATTAAATGTTGAACTTTACTATTTGATATGCACATTTTTCAATCAAATAACTAACACATTTGTTGAAGAAAATGTGTGTTTAAGAGTGCATTGCTTGGTCACACTTGGGAATGGCTCTGCTCTCCTCAATTATACACACTTCCAACATCATATACCTTCAATCAGGTATGTAATAACACTAACCAATTAACACGTTTCATCCGTAGTCAAAACTAAATCAAACATCCACCGCCCATCTAGTATAAACTTTAGTGTACAGTCAACTCCTCAAAACGAAGATAAATCATAAGCGTACAACATAGTATAACCAAGCACTTCCCGGTGGTAGTGAACAAACACAAGGGTCTGTTTGAGCAAGAACTAAGTCCTCCGGTCAGAGTGTGCCCGAGGCTACGACTACAGCAACACCCACAAACATCAAAACACATAAACAGCAAGTAGAGAGGCGCACATGAAGGAACAAGTGAGAGCAGCAGGTGCAGGGAGCTTAAGACCATAATAATACAGACTGAATACTGAATAATACACTCAAGGGCATCGGCTCTCAAACTCTAATGTTATTTAGAATGTAGTAGTTAGAATAACACAGGGGACAAATGATCTCGCAGTGAGGATTTCAATACGTACTCTAACCGATTCCACAAAGGTTTAATTAAAAGAAATGAAGTGCTTGTTCCTGAATTAAAAAGGATGTGATAATCCACATGAGACAAAATATTCTTGACAGGTTCATTTGACTTTTTTAAATTATTATTATTATTTTTTTTATTGTGAACCAAATAAGCAGGATGATGATTTATGCCAGCAGCCCTAATCAAAAGATGAAAGCAGCGAGACAAATTTGATTCTAATTAAAAACATAATAATAACAGTCAAAACTCTGCATAATCCAACTACATACTGCAGGACATGGAGCAAATATGCAGTAAAAAATCCAGTATCATGACTCCAAAATGTACTCTTGTCACTGGTCACAGTTTGAGAAGCATGTCCTGAAGGTTTAAAGAATGCTTACTATACCTGCATCCTCTCGATCATGGCAAACAGGTCCGAGCTCTGGAATCCAAAAATAGACACGTTGAAAAGGTGTAGGTTTGTGACAGCTTATCCCAGTTGTAATCCCTCGCCATCATGTAAAAGTCTATACACTGATATCAGCTAACACATGACCCCATCCACCCTGACTGACTCTGCTGCCCTGAGGCACCAGGGAGCACCAAGAGAGTGGCTTTTCCGTGGCCCTGGACCAGCTTACAAAACAAAAGCATCTCCAGGGGATGAGCTCAGGGCTCTGGAGCTGGTTGTCACAGCTCCCAACTCGACATACTGTAACTTAAATATATGTATCCACCACAGTGCAAATGTTTGTATGAGATTGTATTATACATTTCTCCTCCTTGTGAGATAAATAAAGAATATCTTATCTTATATCTTATCTTATTTTATGAGAGTATCTGCACAGACCATATTGCAGATAATATTTTTCAACTCATACAACATAAAATAAAAAAACGAGTTTTCATTATCTGGATTGTAATTTTAGATTTAAAGAAGGAGTAACACATAATATTTTGGCCTATAAATATGATAAAGTGACTATTTACCTTGCCATTTCATGTTTTAGAATGTAAAATAATATAATCATAGAATAATTGATAAAACAAAAATCACAGGTAACTAATGCTATCAACCTGCCCTATCCCTATGCTATGCTATGCTATGCTATGCTATGCTATGCTATCGCTTTGTACTAAAAAATTGAATAAATGTATGGACTCTACTTTTGTTTTAAAGAGTGTGATGTCATAGTGATACAATGACATCATGCTCCAGGACTGAGACAGAAGCTTTTAGACAGACAGTTCTTGACATTCCTGAACTAAAAGAAAAAAACTCCAGGTTAGTTCTTTTTGTTCAATGAGGGACAATGTTAACAGGGTTAAAAGATGCTAAATACTATGATCCTAGAAGACCTCTGGTAAGTACTGGTAAGTACATTGCCTAGAGTGAGTCTGGTGTGTGTGTTAATGACTGGTGGTGGTGACTGGTCGATGGCACACACTAGTTGCCTCGCTTCTGTCAGTGTGCCCCAGGGCAGCTGTGGCTACAGTTGCAGTTTAAGCCTTTAATGTTCACTCCTTGAAGAAATCAATGTTTTTCTTTCTTTTTTTTTTTGATTTTCAGAGTGAGGCACACATATATTACATTTTATTTTACAGGCCTTTACCAAATGGTTGAGATGCAGTTTGATGGTAAAAGTATCTAAAACCAAGGGAGATGCCTCAAAGAGGTATATTTCAGTCCCAAGCTTCAAGTAGATACTGACTCAAAAGGTGCTCTACCAAATGGTTGAGCAAATGATTAAAGGGTTATCACCATTGTGTACGGAGTGAATGAGTAATGAAGTGAAGCGTCTCTGAGTGTCAAATAAGCGCTATATAAAACAGATATATTATATGTCGGTTAATCATTTTATGTGGAAGACGACCGACACATCATTTAAAATAGTGTCTCTATGGACAAGTAATGAGCCTGTGTGACCATGTAACACAAAAGGACTGAGCTGTCAACATGATGTTCCCCACATGGCACTTTACAGAGTGTGGCACACAGCACATGTGGAATTTCAATTAATACCTATAAATAGACATAGATTCTCTGTGGAAAAAAGCAGCTTGAATTTTATCAGCTGGAGTTTTTTGTTTTTTTTTTAAACTTAAAAATATGTTTTGACAACCCAACAATTTTGCTTCTGGAGAAATGACCACGAGTCTGGATGAGAAGAATAACATTGTAACTTCTGCTGCTGTCTGTTTTTGTAGATGACAGAGAGATTACTCATACAGGAAGTTAGAACAATGCTAAAGTCAATTTATACTCAACTCACAGGTGAAGCTAATATAAGTTGGAATCATTCCAGGCAAAGAGTATCAAGCCTCTGTATCCTTTATTGTCTCACAGCTTGTAAAAAATATATAAAAAATGTCTCAAAAAATGTATAGATATCAAAGAAAGGCTTGGCATATGACACTTTGCATGTAAGGAGTCCATATCTATTCATAAATCGGTTTCTCATTTTAAGTTACAGATATAATACAACTTTTGAACCATATTATAATGTAATGTAGTGAGTTTCACCTGTATACTTTATTTTCTCCACTCTCCAGACTTTTGAAAATGTAATCAACAAAATTGCTATTATTAATTGTTGCTCATTGGGGTTTCAGTTTTGCCGCTAATATTTCAACATTGGATTGCAGGGTGCAGACTATACAACAAAAAAGGGAATTCTCCTAAATGATTCACACTGTATTCCTGTAACAGAAGTAAGTTTACAACTCATAAACACATAAAAATGCTGAGCGATCATAAGAACAAAGTCACATGACGGGACCCACGTGTGAGTGAGACATGCAGTGAAACAGTCACAAGTTCACACACCATAAAATGACAAACACAAATCGATATCGGTAATGAGACTGAACAGTGGCTTTGAAATAAAGTCAGTGAAAATAAATGTATCTGCAATTAGCAACAATGGGTTTAGCCTCCTCAACATTTCAGAAGAATTTACTGTCAGTTATATTGTGTTTATTAGCAGACAAATTTATCAGGATGGAGCAAATATCATGGCTTTATTCTGTGTATGTGCATGAATGCCAGTGTGTGCATGAACGCAAGTGTGTGCATGAACGCCAGTACTCACATCGCTGAAGCATCGTCTCTTGAGGAATGGTTTACTGGACATGTTGGACAGAGACAAGTTGGATAGAGACATGTCCTGGAAAGCATTCCTGATCATGGTGAACTCAGTCATCCTTCAAGCACAGGCCTCAATCTGCGATCTCAGACCTTCTGCTGCAGATATCTTAATCAATTGTGACAGTAGCTCATCAGATCCGCATGCCAATGTTAGGCCATTGTCTCTAATGTGAGACTATTATTTCATTTCCTTCTGCTTTTGGTGGCCACCGGTGCACACGCCCTCCTCCCCGCTCAGACAGTTGTTCAGTGGCGACAGGAGGAAGGGAGGGGCTGCTCCACGCCTGCTCTCAGTAACAGACTCATGCATGTGGACTGCAGTTCTCATAATATGAAGCAATTATGTTCCTCTTTTCTTTCATTTCTCAAGCACTCATACCAATAGCATTTCTGTTCCGCTCATTGAGAATTGCACGGGTTGTCATATTTACTTCAGAGGTGAGTTTCCAGCACATGGTGAAAGTCTGTAGATCTGGAGAAGCTGGCTTCTGTTGGGGTTTTCAAATCCATCTCGATTGTTCAATGGCTGCATGTGAAATCTTTGCCAGGAGA